GTGTGTGTGTGTGTGTGTGTGTGTGTATATGATATATATTATTATTGTTTCTTCACGTTTTAGTAATGTGAACCAAAAACTGTAAAAACTGTGCTCATTAGGTAGATTTATTTTCAGCGATTGAGAATAAACGTTTATAAACGAATATTTGAGTATAATATGTTTTTTAAATTGTTTTATTTATCCTATATACAAAGTAAAATCTGCAGTAAGTTTAATTATTAAACGCATCTGTCTACTGCATGTCTAAGTACCTGTATTCTGTAAAAACCTCCAAACTTCCTGTACAAGTTTAGTGAAAACTAAAGTCCCACAACTTCCTGGAAACATTGTCTCTACAGGAAAAAGCTTAAATTCTTCTATCTAACATTTAGATAAAAAATTTAAAATACTAATATTTATATTCGGAGCCAATAAAAATAGGCAAACTGCTAATTCATTGACATAAAAAGGATGAAACTGCAGAATATTGGCTTCTTGTTATCATCATCTGAAACCTTTCAGTTCGTCTGAAGCCTCGTTCGGTCGCAGCGGAGCAGCCTACCTGTAATGAGGAGCTGGAAGCTCTTTGAGCACATCTCTGATCTTTATCAGCCTCTCCTCCTCCAACTGAATGGCTACAGCCTCCTGCACGAAAACACGGGATGAACAAATGTTTCCTTCTTCGACAAAAATACTCATTTTTCCAGTTTTATCTGTTTTACGGCCTCTTAAAAACCAACTGAATAATTAAAGCCAGTTTCTTTTTTGCTGTATACAGTTGGTTTACACATCCTAAAAAACCAAGGAGTTCATCAAGACAAAGGTTAAAGCAAAAGGTTTTAGACTGGACTAATTAATCTCCAGAGCCTGCCAAAGGAGGAGATTAAAAGGTAAAAAGGAAGAACAGACAAGACGATGTGGTGAAAATCTGAAGATAAAACACAGAAAATGACGTAAACTATGTCAGACTTGATAAAGTTACTGCAGTCCAAGGATCTCCAGCTCAATAATGAATGCCACAATAATAAATGTTACATTTTTTGGTTCCCATACTTATCTAACATTTTTAAAACAGCACCATTGTCTAAGTTGTGCAACAGTTTTAGACGTTATTACCGAGAACTCACACTGTGCTATACTACTATACTCACACTATAAGCCCCTCCATTTGCAACTGGCTCCTGGATTTCTTAACCAACCGACCACAGTCTGTGAGAATCTACTACAACTTCTCCTACTCCACCATAACCCTCAGCACTGGCGCCCCTCAGGGCTGTGTGTTGAGCCCCCTCCTGTACATTCTCATCACATATGACTGTACACCTGTGTATTTCAGAAGGAGCAACCCCACCCCTCTGCACATAGGAGGATCTGCGGTGGAAGTGGTCTCCAGTTACAAGTACTTGGGTGTCCACCTGAATGACAACCTCAGCTGGAGCACAACACTAACAGCCTGATCAAGAAAGCACATCAGCGACTTATATTATTATTGTTTAGCATATATCTTGGATCCTTATATACTGTTTCCCTTTTAAACTTTATATTTTTGCTATTTTTGGGCGCAACTGGAACCTTGAGTACACAATTTCATTCCACCTCATGCACCACATGTGATGCGAATGGCAATAAAGTCACCTTGAACCTTGAACCTTGAACTAAAACCTGAAATTCATTATCCTTTTTTTTAGTGGCTTTGCTGTTCATTTTGTTTTGAAGGAAACGTTTTAAATCCAGAGCCTATTATGAAATAAATAACGTAATAAATAAAATAACGTGTTGACAGTTATATACTTACGGAATATAACTTTACACATCGTCTTTTCTTTTCTTCCTCTCTTTCTCCTTCGACGAAGAACTGGTCGCTCTTACCCTCCCTCCCACCCTCCTGCTTTTTATTTGCTCTCTTGTCCTGTCAACCTCACAGCCTCTCTTTACACATCTTCTGAATCAAAAATTATTATGGATTTGGTCAGCTGGTCCTTAAACGCAATTGATAATTGTTTTTCCACCAGACGACAGGGTGCTGGAGAGCCCTCATGCCCTGAACGGACCCAAGCAGCTGGGTATGTCACTGATTCCTGGGGTGAGTGGAAGATGATGTGCCTATCTGTGCTGTCCCTGGAGGACGTAGAAGATGTGTACATTATTGGATTTATGATAACAGGGTTTCTGCGTTTTGGAATCGGTGGATACCTTCGATATCGACAAATTAGGAAGTCGTCAGCAGCAGTTTCGGCCATGGTAAAGCTGCCAGCCTTATGTGAAGGATTAATTTGTGCTTTGAGCGCTCAGACTCATAAGCTTAGCGAGCTCAACTGCAAGCTGGACGTGATTTCTGAGAATCGTAGCCATTTGCTGCTCCTGGAACTCACCAGCATGAAGGATCCAATCTTAGAGAATGCTAAACCGAGCACAGACCGGGCAGAATGTCCACTAATCTGGCTGTTTGGATTCGCCATTGAGTGTACCAGCAGAACTTGAAGGCAGACAGAAAACAGTTTGGCGGCCCAAACAATTGTTGTTTATCTGAATGTGACCTCCCCGCTGGCCTTGGACAGGCCAACTTATCTCAAATTGCTCCTGGAGGATACGTAACTAGAAGCTCTGCCTGCTCCCGAGGACATCTGTGGCCTTATCAGGACCATGATGCTGATAGACGCTGTACCATCTTATCAGAACTTTGGAACTTTCTGGAGTGTTTATGGATAACTTAACTCACCGCCTTTGTCAACCTCTATGCATAAATGTATTATGATGTCATTGTACGTTGCTGCTTTATGTTGTGGGGTCTTTTTTTGAATCTTTTATGTTTCCCGGACAGGAAATGGTGTGAGACATGTTTTTTTTTGGCTTCCTCCATCCTCGTGTTCTCTTTTTCTCATCTGCCTGTATGTTGTATGTAACAGGTCTCTCTTGTAAATGAGTCTTTCAGGCTCAATGGGAATTAACCTGTATAAATAAAAGTCTAATAATAATTAAACAAATCATGGTTGTGTATGTGCAGAGCAGCACTCACAGCAAACTTGTCGTACAGCTGGTAGGTGAGCAGCGGGTTGGGCAGCTCTCTGAAGTAAGCTTTACACAGGGAGCTGACACAGTGGATGTCCTGCAGGTACAAATCCTTGTTCAGATCCGGAGTCCCCTCGCTCTCAAACTCACTCCTGTGCGAACGCAAACAGAGATTCCATTTAAACCTCTATATTTATAGAAACAGGGTCGGAGAGCAGCGCACGTGCACTGACCTCAGTTTCTGGATGTTGGACGAGACTCCAGACAACCTGTAGATTCCGTCCACGACGCCGTGACGTTCAATGAACTCACTGCAGCATCGTAACACCAGTGGAACTGTGGGAAATAACTCAGATTATTAATTTGAATATTTAACTTTACTGTATTATCTGAACATGAGCACACTGGTCAGTCTGGGTTTGTTCTTTCATCACACAGAACATAAACCAGTCATACCAGCAAGGTTTGGGTTCAAAACTTTGATTAAGTGGGACAGTTTGTGCCAAATTACCAAAATAAACACGTATATTACAGCACAAACATTTTCCCAATAATCGCCAACAGCATGACCGCGCTTTTATTTTTAATTGTGTTTAAACTACAGTAAATATTTATTTATCATCACCAGTTGCCAAAAGGCAACAGCAGGCGATGATGTTTTTGCCCTTGTCTGTCTGATTGTGTTTAGATGTCTGTTAGCAAAATATCTCATTAACCAGAGAACAAATTTTATTGGCATTCATTAAACGTTCCTCTACAACTGGTTACATTTGGGAGTTGATTTTTATGAATTTTGTTTTAAATCTGATGTTTGATGATCAAAAGCGCTGATTTTGTAATTTTGTAACCACTAGTCCGTTTTACAGATACTGGGCTAAACATTGGTGTGGTAGTAGCTGAGACTCATTACGAACATGTACTATGAGCTGATAACTTTGAGGTTTGACCTACAACAAGCATCATTTCTTAACACGAGATGATCTTTAGTTTAAAACGTTGGTGGGCAACATGCATTCTTTCATATTTAACGTTATCAAATGAGTTCTTGAACATCTTATTAGGTATTTTTATTTTCTCATTTCACTAAATGTGTTTTTTTGTGTTGTAGGTTAGGTTCAGAGCTACAGTTAATGTATAAACTGAGTCTCAGGAGAAGAAAACTGCTGTTTTTTTATTAGCATCAAATATAAACTACGTTTTCTGATTTGTTCAGTTTAACAGAGGGCTGTCAAGGTTTATAGGAAATGGTGATGGAGCGAAACAAAAAAACATCAAAGTTCATGCTCAATCATCCAGGTACAAAATCCAATAATGCTCAGTCAGGTCATCTGGATAGTTTCTTATTTGTGGAAAGACGTTTCGCCATCTATCCAGAGGGCTTCATCAGTCTGAGGAGTCCCAAGTAAACTGTTTCCCCACTAAGCAGTACACTCCTTTAGTGGACCAACCAGTTTGCTGGTGATAAGATGGTTTCTGGGGGCTGTCCTGTCCCCCATTGACTCCTCCCAGGCAGGCAGCCACAGCCAAAGTGGTTCAAGACATCAAAGTTCATGCTCAATCATCCAGGTACAAAATCCAATAATGCTCAGTCAGCTCATCTGGACAGTTTCTGTTTTGTGGAAAGACGTTTCGCCCTCTATCCGGAGGGCTTCATCAGCCTGAAGAGTCCCAAGTAAACTGTTTTCCCCACTAAACAAAGAGAGTACCTTATTTTTCAGACTATAAGGTGCACTTAAAATCCTTTAATTTTCTCAAAAATCAACAGTGCGCCTCGTGTATTAATTCTGGTCGTGCTTACTGACCTCTGTGGCACACGGCACTCAAAAATCTGTCAAATGTTCTAGTTTTCTTGATGCGCCTTATGTTTGAAAACAGGCCAGTTCATTGATATTGCGCCTTATAATCTGGTGCGCCTGATTGTCCAAAAAATACGGTAATAAAAAAGAATTTAACGTAACTATTGAGACATTTCTTTCATATTGTTTTTTCCAAAAGTGGAACGTGGCTATGATGGTGGATACAGCAGAGTTCATTTTCTGGGTGAGAGGACCAGAGCTTCTCAGACGATGCCAGTCAGACTTTGTTTCTGCGCAAAGACCCTCAGTTTTATTGAGGCTTTCGTTGATTTTATCAATAAAATCGACTTCTCAGAGAAGAAAACAAACGTGAAGAGGCTCCCTGCAGTTTGAGTCCATTCCTTACATGCTGATTAGTAATCATGGTGTTTTACTTAATGTCAGAATTGCTGCATTGTCTCCGTGGTCACGTTTGCTTCATTTAAAGCGCCTCCATATTTAAGCTCAGCTTGGTTTGAACGACAGACTGTTTATACAAACCACATAAAGCCGAAATATTCTGAGTCTCAACGACAAACAACCGGTTTGACAAACCTGCTGACAAACTTGGTGTGGTTAAAACTGTATGTTACAGCGTAGCAAAGAACAACTGGGCATTTTCCATAAAATGAGCTCTGTTTCATAACGTGAAACTAGAAAAATTCTGAATATTCTAAAACTTCTGCTGAGGCGAGGACAATTTATTTAATGTTTAAAAACTGTTCAGACAAGGTGCAAAAGTTTCAGCCACCGTAGTTTCTTTAGATTTTGTTTCCACCGAGACAAACTTTAAAAACTGTCCTAATTAACATTTCTCCAGATTCTTTTTCACGGTTTTTCTTGAGCTTTGGCTCCTTCTTTCAGTTTCCACTTGTGTTCAGTCCAGTACCTGAACATGGAGCTTATTTTGCAGTCTGTGTTTAACAAAAAATTAAAAAGTGGACAACAAACGATGAAATGTCAGACCTGAAAAAAGAAAAATCAAGTCACATCTTTAAGAATGTGGAAAGATTTGACTCAGAACCTGAGGGCTGCATCATGTTTTGGTTTGGATGTTTCGATAATCTCACTGTATTTCAGTACAATGATAATAAAACTTATTCTGATTAAGATATATGGCAAGTTTTTAGCTAATAGCTTTTGGAAATCTCCTTGTTGGTACTAAAACACTATTTTCTGTTTGTCAAATGGAAAGTGGAGCAAATGGTCTCTCTAGGCTGCTGGTAGCAAAGTGCCTGAATATAGTGTTTTAAATTGGGCATTTTGGCTAAAATATCTGTCCAATATCATGAAAACTGGTAAAAAATAATCATAAATTTGAATATCTACCACATGCGCTTGTTTACCTGCAGAAACAGCCAAAGAGACTAATAAATCAACAAAGTCGACGTCCACAGAAGAGACATTAGGGATGGAGAAGTGCAATAAATCCGATGTGTTGGTTTGTATTTATGACCATTTTTGCAGATAAAAGTGATTTGTTGATGTTGTTTCAGACTTGCCTCTCAATATATTTGGAAAAACTACTGGAGTATTTTTTTTTTTTTTTCGAACTGCACCACTGAATGGAGTTCAGGAAACTTTTATGTAACTCAAGTAAAAGTTCAACACATGAACTGAAGTGAAAAAGCAGCCAAAGTCTAAAACCTTTAAAGATCTTCAGAAAGCCCCAAGACCTGAGAGAGGACTATTCAACTGGTGGCCCATGGGCCACTTCGGGGCCGTGGGTGATATATATATATATATATATATATATATATATATATATATATATATATATATAGTTCTGGGTTTTGGGTTCTGTTTATTGCATTTATGATTCAATGCAACAAAGTAAACAAATTTAAAGGTAACAGACAATTGTAATACTTGGTTTAATTACATAATGACTAATTGCTGGATGTCTGGCCCCTGAGCTGCTGGTGTTCAATAACCATGAGCAGTTTAGTTGAATAGCCCTGAACTACGAGGATTACAAGGAAAAAACAAAGAAATAAGGGATGACCTAAAAGTACTGCCGACATCCACAGAAACTGATAGTACTGTTGAGTTTAGATGGACAGTTATTCCAGAAGTACTAGTAAATGTTTGTGTTTAATGTGTGTTATGTTGTCTAGAATACATAAAGCCTTAGAAATGTAGATTAGAGCAGACTATGAGGAGAACAGTTCCTGGAGAAACTTTGATGGGGACTGCCGCATCGTGGCCATTTAAAATTTTTTATTTAACAATACTATGTGTTGGGGATCGCTCTCATCTACCATCAAACCAAATTTCAGCTCAATATGGCAAAAAAAAATCAATGAGTTATAGTTTTTTTTTTTTTTCTTGTAAACTATGGTGGCCATCTTGGATTTTTCATTTGGATTCAGTATGTGATGGGAAACGTTCTCCGCTATAACCTCACCAAATTTCATCAATGTATGTGTAAAAATAGATGAGTTAAAGCCATTTAAATTTAGCTTTGGTGGCCATCTTGACTTTTTATTTGGATCCATTAGTTATAGGGCATTGTCCTCAAATGCAACCACACCAAATGTTAGCTTAATATCTCTAAAAGTGGATGAGCTATACCAAAGTTCATGATCAATAATCCAGATAAAAATCCAGCAATGTTCAGTCAGGTCATCTGGACGATTTATTTTTTTGCTGAGACGTTTCGTCCTTCATCCAAAGGACTTCTTCAATCTGAGGAGCCACCAAACAAACTGAGTTTGCTGGTGCTAAGACGGCCTCTGGGGCTCGTCCTCTCCCCCATCACCTCCTCTGAGGCAGCCATGCCAAAGTGCTTCAAAACACCAAATTTATAGTACAAGCTGGTTTATAGTTGGTTTCATAGAGAAAAATGGCGTCTTTGTTTGCAACTTACGTCGCCTTGGTAACTCGAAACACCAATCAAAGCAACAGCACACGTCACAGTGCTGAGCCGGTTGTTTTGATGATATTTGTGGGGGTAGTGGTGTAGTCTATGCGGAGTCTGATAGATAGAAAAGCTTAAGAATTTCAGTATACACACTTAAAAGTGCCCATTGATACATGACATATCATTAGGCATTTGTCATTGATACGTTAATCGGTAATTAAACGCTTCCGTAACAATTTATTGATACGCAGCGCTTGTTTATTACATAACTTTTATTTATTACTTATCCAGTGAATTATTGTATAATTAATACTTCTGTACTTACTACTTAATAAAAAATGGAAACAGGTCCAGATAACACGATTTAACCTTTTTTTTGGTTATCTACCTGGATGATTGAGCTACAAACCTTTTTTTTTTTTATTACTTAATACTTGAACATGTTTTGCTTTGATGCCGTTTTATTGTTTTTGGTGCATTGTTTTGTTTTTTTTCGTTAGTGCTTAATGTATTCTTAGTTTAGCGAATGTAGTATATTCTTAGTTCATGACTCGGATCTTACTTATGTTTTTCTTTACAATTTGTATATTTGTTGGATGCAACTGGGACCCTGTGCACATAGTTTCGTTCCACCTCATGTACACATGTGATGTGAATGACAATAAAAATCCTTGAATCCTTATAAATTCTCTAGCATGGTTTTAATACAAAGCCAACTGTTGTACAAAGTTCAGTTATTCAATAAGCATCAGAGAAATTTGGAAATGTTCAATATGCTTAAAAATCAACAAATTGATGATTGCACTGTACTAACCAGTGTACTTGGGTTTCTAAGCACAGTATACCCGCTACAAAAATGCAGACCACACCACTGTGTGGGTTACACATTGCGGTTCGGGCCACGTTAAAGTTCATAGAAGAGCAAGACCCTCTTCAGGTGGATAATAATAAGGCGCTGCCTTGCTAAGCAGTCGCCAATAAGTGATGGAGTGAGGATTGTTCACTTACTCTCCTGAGAGGAGGTGTTCAGATGCTCCAACAGATCACACCCAAACACTTTCTCCTTGTTGGCCCCTTTTCTTCGAACCCTCCTCATCTCTTCCTGCCTGCTGTTTCCACCTCACATTCAGAGCCGCCTGCGCCGCCTGCTCCGTGGCCGTCAGGTTTTCACCGACCGCCTGCGCTCCAACGAGTCCACCACCTCTGTTAATGAGACTCTGTGGAGGCGCCGCGCATTTCAGAGGATTCACCGTGACGCTTCTCCTGCCGTCGCGTCGCTTGTGAGCGGCATTGTATTGCAAGGCTGAAGACTCGGGGCAGGTTTTGGTTTGCCGACCTGCGAAAGCAGACACAACACTTTGTTCATGCAAACGATCCCTGCAAACAAACTGCACTCGATCCTCAGTCTGCATATGTGGCTTTCCACTTCCCCCTGATGCACTCAATTTATTTTCGAATGATAGGCCACACCCTTGTACTTCTCCTATGCAGTTAAATGTTCGACCGGTCGCTCTTGTCACACTTTTAAAGTCTCTTTGAGGAGGTGGACCACCTGAAGCCTCCAAGTCCAGGTCGTGGTGTCTGACTTCACTGCAGGCCCTGCTTGCCCTCCCTGTCCACATGTCACGGCCATCGCAGGCCCCGTTCTCACTGTAGCGGAAGTCGAGCTTGAAAATACAAAATCAAGCAAACATTCAACGTTTCACCCCCCCACCCCCCAGGTTCTCCATCGTCCTGACACCTGCCACCTCCCTCCCATGTAATCCACCCATCCCTCTCCGAACGTCCACCTTTAAGAAACCGCTCTGATACGAATAAACACGTTACAAAGCGAGTCTTCCTACCTTCAGCCTGCAACAGCTCACAAGAAGCAGCATAAAACGATGACGCAAAAAAACCACTAAACTTCCCCTGTTAACTTCCTGAGTGTCTCTCCTTCTCGTGCGCTTTCTCTGTGAATGCAGCTCACAGTTTCTCCGCCTCTGAGCGAGTAGGGAAATCAGTTCAGTGCATCTGCACAGGGCACGTATTTCCCTTTATGAACGTTCGTCTCTTCTGTGGTCGGAGCTCTGTGTGATTGACTCACCATGAGGTAGGAAGAAGTAGACGCGTTTGAAACGTGTGACACAAAGGCAGATGATACGAACCCCATTTCCTTTCATAACGTGAATGTTTTTATTAAATATCAACACCACTGAACAAAAACTGGACACGCTCTGTACAAACAGACCGACACACGAGGTTCAGAAAGCAGCAGCCAAGTGACCAGAGTGGACGTTTTCAAAGATCTGTGTTGCAGTTTATGTCCTCACATTCGCTTCGGTAACTTTTTGATGAGATTACATCAAGTTGATACCAAGTTTTCACAACAGCAGGTTGGTGTTTCACATTTCCAAACAGAAGTGTAGCAGTCAGAGGTGAAGCGTTCACTCTTCCCTGATTGTTTTTCTGCTAATTGCTGGTTTTCCTCCACTTATTTGCCTGCATGGGGAGGGAGTTTTGCTCATTTCTAATGCATTAATGTAATTGTTCAACACCTGATTCCTGTTTTTTTTAACAAAATATTAACAGCTCTTTACAAAAAAATAAAAATCATTATAGGTAATAAAGTAACAAATGTCTTATATAAATAAAGGTATTTGAAAATGTGATAAAGCATGCTGTGAAAATCCATGGATGGATGGATGGATGGATGGATGGATGGATGGATGGATGGATGGATGGATGGATGGATGGATGGATGGATGGATGGATGGATGGATGGATGGATGGATGGATGGATGGATGGATGGATGGGGTG